CCAAAAGAAGCCCCTTTCTCACTAGTAGTCACTCCTCATTCCTTCCTCCCCTCAGTCTCTGGCAACCACTAATCCACCTTCTGCCTCTATGGATTTGCCTATTTTGAACATTTTGTATGAACGGAGTCAAATATTGTGCCTGGCTTCTTTCACTTAGCATAATGTTTTCAAGTTTCATCCGTGTTGTACCAAGAATCAGTACTTTATTCCTTTTTATTTGTCAGATAATATTTCATTATATGGATTTTGTTTACCCATTAATCAGTTGATGGGCATTTGGGTTGTTCCTACTTTCGGCTATTGTGAGTAGCTAGTTTTTGTGTGGACATATGTGTTCAATTATCATGGGTACATACCTACGAGTAGAATTGCTGGGTGATATGGTAACTCTGTGTTAACATTTTGAGGAACTTCCAAATTGTTCCCCAAAAGGTTAAACATAGAATTAGCATATCACTTAGCAATTGCACCCCTAAGTATAAAGCAGCTGTAACATTTTACATTTTCACCATCCATTTATCAGAGTTTCTGTTTCTCCACATCCTCACCAACGCTTATTATCTTTTATTGAGATACAACTGACATATAACATTGTGTAAGTTTAAGCTGTACAATGTGACGATTTAATACATGGATATATTGAAAATGTTTACCATAATAAGGTTAGTTAACACAGCCTTTACCTCACATCATTGCTATTTTGTTGTTGCTGTTGTTACAGTGAGAACATTAAAGGTCTACTCTCATAGCAACTTCCAAAGATCCAACACAGTACTGTTAACCATAGTTACCATGCTGTACCTTAGATTCCTGGAACTTATTCATCTTATAACTGGAAGTTCATACCCTTTGACCAATATCTCCCCATTTCTCTCAACTCTGGCAAGCACCATTCTACTCTGTTTCTATGAGTTTGATGTTTTAAAATTTCAAATATAAGTGAGGTCATAGAGTATTTGTCCTTCTCTGTCTGACTTATTTCACTTAGCATAATGCGCTCAAACTCCACTCATGCTGTTGCAAATGGCAGGATTTTCTTATCTTTTATGGCTGAATAATATTCCATTCTGTAAGTATGTATGTGTGTGTGTGTGTATATATATATATATGTTTACCACATCTTCTTTAGCCATTCATCCATCAAAGGACACTTACGTTGTTTCCTTGTCTTGGCTATTGCGAATAACGTTGCAATGAACATGGGAGTGCAGATATCTCTTCAAGATCTTGTTTTCATTTCCTTTGGATATATACCCAGAAGTGGGATTGCTGGATCATATGGTAGTTGTGTTTTTAATTTTTGAGGACCCTCCATACTGTTTTCCACAGTGGCTGCACCAATTTAAGTTCCCATCAACAGTGCTCTCCACATCCTTACCAACACTTGTTATCTCTTGTCCTCCTGTTGCTAGCCATTCTAACACGTGTGAGATAGTAGCTCACTGTGGTTTTGATTTGCATTTCTCTGACCATTAGTGATGTTGGGCACTTTTCATGTACCTATTGGCCATTTGTGTGTCTTCATTGGAAAATGGCCGGGAAGAAAATAAGACATGGTAGTTGGATAGGGAATGACTGGAAGGAGGAGCCACAGTAAATAGGGTAGTCTATAAAGCCTCTTTGAGGAGTGACATTTTAGCAAAGACCTGCCAGCCATCTTCAATTCCATCTTCCCCTTCAGCCCTCTTACAGAGTCACTTGACAAGTCCTAGTGACGCATAATATCCACTGACATTCCAATGCATAAGCTTACGATTAGGACTGAGAGGGAATGGGGGCATGTACTACCTTTTCTTCCTAGTGGGAAAAGGGCAACAAATTCTTACATGTAGAAACCTCAACCAACTCTCAAAATACGTGGACTCACCTAGGTAAATTGTGAATGATTACCATGATTTTATTTGTTCTGAGAGAGTAAAACCTACATTTAAAAAAAATTAAAAATTAAACTATAAGCCCTAAAAGAGGATTTACCAATGTCTCTGGGTAGGCCAGACAACCGTTTAGCAAGAGATACTGCTGGTTCAGGACCAAGGACAGCATTTCAAGTTTTTCTGCCCCCTCCCTTCATTTTAATTGTGTCACATTTGCACATATCTATCAATTTCTTTACATGCCTACCGCCAGTACTCCCATAATGCCAGGACCCCCCAATCCTGTAGTGCCCTTCATTCTAGTGACGTTCATCCCATGAATGGGATGCTTTCATTTGTGTGCTTTCTTCTCCTTCAACTTCTCTCTTACTTTTTTTTCAGTTGTGGTAGAACAAACACAACATAAAATTTACCATTTAACCATTTATAAGTGTATAGTTCAGTGACACTAAGTACATAAAGATTGTTGTGCAACTATTACTATCATCCATCTCCAGAACTTTACCTTTACAAACTGAAACTCTGTACCCACTGAACACTAACTTCCCATCTCGTTCTCCCCACCCCAGGCCCTGGGAAACACCATTCTACTTTCTGTCTCTGTCTCCCCTACTTTTTATTTAGTCTACTGATTGCCACACAATGGTTCATTGATAGCATTACATCTTGTTATAAACGCAAATTCTTGGGCCCTAGACCTACTGAAAAAGAAACTCTGGGATGTGACCCAACCATCTGCATTATTTTTTTGAGGAGAAGGAGGGTTGGTCCTGAGCTAACACCCGCTTCCAATCCTCCCCATTTTGCTGAGGAAGATTGGCCCTGAGCTAACATCTATGCCCGTCTTCCTCTATTTTATATGTAGGATGCCTGCCACAGCATGGCTTGATAAGCGGTGCGTAGGTCCACGGATCAGAACCAGCAAACCCCCAGGCCGCCAAAGCCAAGCATGTGAACTTAACTCCTGTGCCACCAGGCCGGCCCCCCAGCCATCTGCATTTTAACAAGTCCTTCAGGTGATTTTAATGCCCACTAAAGTTCCAGAACAATTGATCTAGTCTAATGCATTTTTAAAAGTTGCAGTTTTTAGAAATACCCATCGTCTCCTATAAAACCTTTCTTGAGACAAGAACATCATCTCCAAAAACCAGTCACGTGTCTTAAGAATATATGACACCATCAAAACATAATAATATGGTTATAATACAGACATTTTGTAACATTCCTATGGTCATTATGGACTTACTGCTTCACACAACTTAGTTTTTGTGTAGACTGGCTTCACTGATTGTTTCATGTGGATCAGAGTCTTCTCTCTCCAATTAGATTTTGAACTGTTTAAGGTTAACAATCATATTTTTTCTTTTGTAAGCCTTTTAAGTGAACACAGAGCTGGCCAGCCACACAATGGGTCCTCAATCAACATAGAAAACATTTATTGAGCCTCTAATGTGTATTAGGAACTGTGGTAGCTGCAAAGTGATACCAAGATGAATACAACACAGTCCTTGTCTTTATGGACCTTTCACTACAATGAGAACTGTTAGACACAAACATAATATAGATGTAATGCAGCAATGTAAAATAGTGCTAAGTTGAACTCTAAGTAGCAAACTATGGGGGACCAAAGGAAGAAATCATAAATTATATCTTATAAGGGGGATAGGAGATAGGTTCAGAGAAATTAGTATCTACAGAATTATAGTATCTTTCTAGGTCCTGACATCAGTTTCTTTCTGTGGAAGTTGGAAGTTGGAGGAGGGGAGTAGCACAGGCATTCACAGCTATAGGAATAGTTCCAGCAAAATCTCCAAAGTGTGGATGTGCATGATGGCTTAAGTACTGGTCTGAGAGAAGTGTGTGGTTGGATATGAAATCAGACTTGGTTTGAGGCTTGACCACACAGTGGCAAAGTGCATGTTAAAGAAGTCCTGTGGCATGATTTGCCCAAAGGCTCTCAAATACTGGTGCACACTAAAATCACCTGGAAAAGTTGTTTGAGAACATATAGATTTCTAGTATTCACACCAGATTTGCTAAATTGAAATTTCTGGGGTGGGGCCCAAGATTCGGTACTTTTAGCAAGCTACCCTGGCGATTCTTACGTACTTGCTGGCAGTATGCAAGAAAGACAGACAGAGGTAAGTCTTGAAGTCAGAAGGTAAGTTAGGGCTGATGGAAGTACTCTAGCAGGCAGAGGCAGAGGGTCTATAAAGGGGCAGGACTGAAAGGACAGAAGGACAGAAAGATGGGAAGATAAAATCTGTTGCGAAGATAGAGTTGACACGATTTGGAGACTGAATGTTGATTGAAATAAATCATTCACAGTCTTAAAAAAAAGCGGGGGTTAATGATTCACAGGTCTGGTACTTTCTATGTAAGTACAGTACTCTCCTATACTTTGGAGCAATTGTGTTCAGAAGAGAGTTACACTGCCTGGAAACAGGCAACAAGGTATTTTCACTCCAAGCGCCACACAGGAATATGAACAGCAGATGGCACTTTCGTGCTATGCCTGAATTTTCAACTTTTGAAGGGAACTAACCTAGGAATGACTCGTGCTAAAATAAAAACAAAGCATTATAGTGTGCAAGTGGATACATTCAATTTCTGATTGTGGGGGGATGATCTGGAAAAGAAGGGCTAATTCAAGGATCAGTTTGCCCTACCTAGTACCTGGCCTCCACAGATACCTTGCAGATTTTCAAATATTGTGAAATACTGTGGTTCCCACCCAGATTAATAAATACACAATTTGGGGAGGTCCCAAATAATTACCGTAGCAAGTAGAATTACATGAACTCAAGCAGACTTAAGGTTAGAAAAAACATCTCCAACTTTGGCCACATTTCCAAATGTCCGCCTCTGATATTTGCAAAGGTAAAGAATAGCAAAAAGGAATAAAATCAAATATGGAAAAGAACCACAGGAGGAGAAGCTTGGAGTAAAAATGTGGACAGACGAATGGAAAAAAAAGGAGATAATTATGTTTTTTTCTTTTTTAAAACTTACTGTTAAACCTTGGCTAGGATACAGAATTTCACGTATTTACTATTAATAGGCCTGCAATCATGCAAAAGGCATCGCGATTTAGCGATTAAGAGAGTGGAGTCTGGATGTACTCACAGAAGTCCAAAGCTCTACTTCTTCCTGGCTGTGTACCTGGAGCAAGTAACTTAATGCCTCTGCACGTCCACCTCCTCATCTGTAAAAAGGAAATGATAATAACAATAGTATCTCTCTCATAATATCTTTATGAGGATTAAATGTCCAAGCTGGTAAGGTACTTAGAAGAGTACCTGGCAGGTAGTGGGCATATCACAGGCAGATGATAAAATTGTGAAAGTCAACTTTTAGGTAATGGGACATTAGGTGATTTTTTCTTCTATTCAATTAAAAACACGTACTTTTCAACAATTGGAAAAAAGTTAAAAAATTTTTTTACTAAAAGACAGAGAAAGATCTGTACTTAAAAATTTCTCTCTTTTTTTTTTAAGCTAGTTTCTACATCTCCAACTCTTTCTTTTTCTGTTAATCTGCTGTACCCAATATTAGACATATGGCTGTGAGAAATCCTGAGGTCTTGGTTATTCTGAGTTTCCAGAATTATTATTATTTTTTATTGTGGTCAAATATACATAACACAAAATTTACCATTTTAACCTTTTTTTTTAAATTTTTTAATTTTCTTTTTTTCCTTTTTCTCCCCAAAGCCCCCCAATACATAGTTGTATATTCTTCGTTGTGGGTCCTTCTAGTTGTGGCATGTGGGACGCTGTCTCAGCGTGGTTTGATGAGCAGTGCCATGTCCGCGCCCAGGATTCGAACCAACGAAACACTGGGCCGCCTGCAGTGGAGTGTGCGAACTTAACCACTCGGCCACGGGGCCAGCCCCACCATTTTAACCATTTTTAAGGGTACAATTCACTGACAATAAGTACATTCACAATGTTTGGCAACTATTACCGCTATCTATTTCCAGAACTTCATCATCTCAAAGAGAAACCCAGCACTCACTAAACAATAACTCACCTCTTCTCACTTACCCCCAGTCCCTGGTAACCTCTATTCCACTTCTGTCTTTATGAATCCACCACCCATTCAAGGTATCTCATATAAATGGGATCATACAATATATGTTCTTTTGTGTCTGGCTTATTCACTTAATATTTTCAAGCATAATATTTTCAAGGTTCATCCATGTTGTAGCTTGTATCAAAATTTCATTTTTTTATGACTAACGGTCCACTGTATGTATGTACCACATTTTATTTATTGGTTCATCTGGTGGATACGTGGGTTGTTTCCACATTTTGGCTATTGTGAAAAATGCTGCTATGAATACTGGTGCCCAAGCAGCTGTTCAAGTCCCTGCATTCAATAACTTTGGGTACCTACCTAGGAGTTAACTTTTTGAGGAACTTCCAAACTGTTTTCCACAGTGCTACACCATTTTACACTCCCACCAGCATCTAGCATTACTTTAAAGTATGTCAGCCTTTTAAAAAGTCAAACTTAGATGGGGAATAAACACAAAACTTAGAGTCCTGCCATAGTTTGCTGACAAGTTGCCGATATGAACACTCTCGATGCATTACCTCCTAGACTAGAGCAACGTTTCTCACGGCACACCGCTGAGAGACCCACAGCACTCATCTAAGGGGCTTCTTATATCTGTAGGTCCCTGAGTCCCACCCCATGTATTTTGAATCAGCATCTCTGGGAATGAGGTCCCCTAAATCATCATTATGCACTAAAATATGAGACTCAGAAACCCAGACTGTTGAGTTCTTGAGGGCAGGGAAAATATCTCAGTCACTTTCATTTCCCTCAGAGCCAAACAGACGGCAGATATTCAACAAACGTATACTTGAATTAAACTTATACTGCCATCTAAAGCTATTTCCTATCTGCTTAATTGCTATATACAGTATTCATTAAAACTAAATTCCGTCACTAGACAACTAGTTAGCAAACCTGTAATTAAGGTGTGTAGTATACTTTTCATTTGCATATAACTTGTAGCTTACCAGCTGTGGTCTGCTGTAGCATCTTATACAGCCAAGAATCTTTATTCTATATGTAATTTTTGGCTGAGTCCTTCACGCTTTGAGACAGTAGAAAAGGATATGAACTAGGAATTGGAAGAGCTGTCTCTGCATAATCTTTGACAATTATATGTAAAATATCTAAGAATCGAGCTTATAATTTGTAAACGTTGGTGACATTTTGTAACTCTATCAACTTCATAGTGTTGCTGAAGCTCAAATGATATTATGTCTAAGAAAACCTGCTGTAGAAACGGATAGAGATACTATGTGGCCTAGCAATTTATACAAAACAAGTGTTTCTAAATCTTCCTAAAGACTTTAAATATGCTGCTGTAGAAGTCTGCTCCTTCAACACATACACAAATCAGCAGATTAGAGTAGAAACACATAGCAGAAAAACATTAAGTGGATGCACAATGTTCACTCATTCATCACGTTTATCCAGCATATTTACATATCGCGCAGGACAGTGTGTGAAAAACAGTGATTAAATAAATTCAAATCTGTCCTCCAGAGGATTGCGTAGCTTAATAACGAGAGACCTGCCCCACTTCACTTCAAAGCTCCTTTCCCATCACAACAAGCTGGCCCGCACCTGTTTGAAATTCGCGGGCGCTGTCCCTTTAACGTGCAATAGAACTCTGATTGCATCGATCACAAATTCATTCTCCGCTCGCTCCCATCGCTCTCATTCCTATGCCGGTTATTCCCTTCTTTCCGGGCGTCCAGCTAGGGGCAGCGCGAGTGTTAGTCAACGTCGGCTTTGCTGTGCGGTCGCCCTGACCCCCAGGCATCCCTCCTGCCAGCTGGCGGAGGCCCGGCTCTCTCCGGCGCCGGCGGAACCTCGGGGCTCGGCTGGCCATGCCTGGAGCGCGGGATTTGATTGGGCCGCCGTTGTTGTAGTGACCGGGAGGCGCCGCAGCTGCGGCCAGACGGTTCCGGGCGCCGCACGGTCCCTCCCCCCTCCTCCCCGTCCCCCTTCCCCAGGTTCCCCCCCACCAGCAAGAGCCCGGCGCCGCCCGCTCCCCCATGGCCTCCGCCCCGGTAAGGACGGGCTGGGGGCGCCTCCCCAGAGCCGGTCCTGCGGGCTGCGGGGCCAGGTTGGGGGCGCGCCGGGGCCTGGCGGGCGGTGGAGGCAGGTGTCGGCGCCAGGTCCCGAGCCGCTAGGTCCTCGCCCCTCGCCCGGGGCGCCCGTGTCCCCCGCTCTGCTCCCGGGCCGCCGGGCGCTCCTCCCCGAGTCCCGGAGCTCCGGCAGAGCCAGGCAGCCCCGCGGCCCCCAAGTTCTCTGCGGCTCCCCGTGGGACGCCTGCGTCAGAATCAGCGCGGAGCGTTTTGAAAAGGCGCCAGCCGGACCCGCCCCTGGGCCCGTGCGGCCGGCGGCCCGGGAGCGAGCATTCCCGCCAGCCGCCGGGGTCAGCATGGAGGCTGCCGCCGGCTCCGCGGGCGAGGGCGGCCGCTCCCGGGCCGGGCTGGGCGGAGGGGACCGCACCGATCCCCGCCCCTCCGACGCGAGCGCCGCACCTGCGCTCACAGCGCGACAACTTTCCTTCCCAGGAGGACCCGGTTCTGGAACGTTACTTCAAGGGCCACAAAGCTGCGATCACCTCCGCGGACTTCAGCCCGCACGGCCAACAGCTGGGTAAGTGACAGACGGCTGCTTTCTGTGACAGGGCCGCCGCTCACTTGGGCGGGAACCTTGCCTTCTCTGTCCTCGCGGGTCCCGGGAGAGCAAGGGAGGACCCGCGGGGCCCGAGACTCGGAGTCCGGCGCGGCGGCGGGGGCAGTCGGAGCCGGGGGGCCTCCAGCCCGCGCCCGCGCCCCCGCCGCGACCCCTACCCGGCCCCCTCCCCACGCCGCCTCGCAGGGTCGCCGGCCGCCCCGAACCCAGCCGGCGACTTTCGCGAACCAACCAGCAGGAGGAGCGAGCGGGCAGGGGAGGGGTTGGTCCTCCGCCCCGGGAGGGTGGGGTGTTGGCTGGAGAGTTTGTGAAAAGTTGTGAGAGCAGCAGGAGGAAGTGGGGAGAGAGGAGTGGGGGCTGTGCCGGGGCCGGGGCCGAGCGGTCTCAGGTGACCCCTGGGCAGCCTCTGTGGCTGGAAAGGAGGAACCTGCTCCGAAGGTCGCTCCTACCTGAGCCGCCGACTCCAGCTGCGGGTCCCGCAGCCCTTCTCTGCCTGTGACTCCGGTGACCGCGTCTGCTCCCAGCCATGAGGATCCGGATGGCCGTGAGGTGGACCTGGGCTGGCAAAAGCTGCCTGCTGCTGGCGCTTTTAACGGTGGCCTATATCCTGGTGGAAGTCTCGGTCTCCACTTTCCATGCCTCCCCGGGAACCGGCCTGGCCAGGGATTGGGGATCAAGACAGATCTCCGACCCTGGGGACAAGGCAGAGGATTTGTCTCGACCGCTTTATGAGAAGCCCCCTGCGGATTCCCATGCACTTGGGGAGTGGGGGAAAGCCAGCAAACTCCAGCTCAACGAGGGGGAACTGAAGCAGCAAGAAGAACTCATTGAGAGATATGCCATTAATATTTACCTCAGTGACAGGATCTCCCTCCACCGCCACATAGAGGATAAAAGAATGTATGAGTGTAAATCCCAGAAGTTCAACTATAGGAAACTTCCCACCACGTCTGTTGTTATTGCTTTTTATAATGAAGCCTGGTCGACTCTGCTCCGCACCATCCACAGTGTTCTAGAAACTTCTCCTGCAGTCCTTTTGAAGGAGATCATCTTAGTCGATGACTTGAGTGACAGAGTTTATTTGAAGACACAACTTGAAACTTATATCAGCAATCTTGATAGAGTCCGCTTGATTAGAACAAATAAGCGAGAGGGGCTGGTCAGGGCCCGTCTGATTGGGGCCACTTTTGCCACTGGGGATGTCCTCACTTTCTTGGATTGTCACTGTGAGTGTAATTCTGGTTGGTTGGAACCACTTTTGGAAAGGATCAGTAAAGATGAAACGGCAGTTGTGTGTCCTGTCATAGACACCATTGATTGGAATACTTTTGAATTCTATATGCAGACTGGGGAGCCCATGATTGGTGGTTTTGACTGGCGTTTAACGTTCCAGTGGCATTCTGTCCCCAAACATGAAAGGGACAGGCGGAAATCGAGAATTGACCCAATCAGTTCACCCACCATGGCTGGAGGACTGTTTGCTGTCAGCAAGAAGTATTTTGAGTACCTTGGAACATATGACACTGGAATGGAAGTGTGGGGAGGTGAAAACCTCGAGCTGTCTTTTAGGGTGTGGCAGTGTGGAGGTAAATTGGAGATCCACCCCTGTTCCCACGTGGGCCATGTATTCCCGAAACGGGCACCGTATGCTCGGCCCAATTTCCTCCAGAATACTGCCCGGGCAGCAGAAGTGTGGATGGACGAGTACAAAGAGCATTTCTACAATCGGAACCCTCCAGCACGGAAAGAAGCTTATGGTGATATTTCTGAAAGAAAATTACTACGAAAACGACTGAAGTGCAAGAGCTTTGACTGGTATTTGAAAAATGTGTTTTCTAATTTGCACGTTCCGGAGGATAGGCCAGGCTGGCACGGAGCTATTCGCAGTATGGGGATCCCTTCTGAATGTTTAGATTATAATGCTCCTGACAACAACCCTACAGGTGCTAACCTTTCACTGTTTGGATGCCATGGTCAAGGCGGCAATCAATTCTTTGAATATACTTCAAAGAAAGAAATAAGGTTTAATTCTGTGACGGAGTTATGTGCAGAGGTTCCTGAGCAAAAAAACCATGTAGGAATGCAAAATTGTCCAAAAGATGGGTTCTCTATTCCAGCAAACATTATTTGGCATTTTAAAGAAGATGGAACCATTTTTCATCCACACTCAGGACAGTGCCTTAGCGCTTATTGGACACCTGAGGGCCGACCGAATGTTGAAATGAGAACTTGTCGTGCTCTAGCTAAAAATCAAATCTGGAAGTTTGAGAAATAGAAGAGTACAACAGCACTTTCAGCCTGAGCTGACAATAGCTTCGGGAAAGTCAAAGAGCCTTCAGGGAGCCTCAGGGAAGATCGCGTTTTATCAGAAATCACCCAAAGGTCATCTGCGAGGGCTCTGTAAAAGCTGTGGTTCGTTTGGGTATAGAATAGTGAAACTGGGTGCACAGAGAGAGCTCCTGTTTAATATTTCAAAGTGCCTTACTGGTGGGATGTTTTATTTAAGAGCTTTGTCCATATGGTTTCTTACTTCTCCTTAAAGAAGTTGACTGTGAGTTGAGATACACAAAACATTTACGTACCAGACTTAAAATATTAAAGAATGTAAAAGTCTAAGCAAAATGAGGGATGATTTATGTTGATGGGTAAATTCACTGCACATCTCATTTTTTTTTTTTTGCACATCCCATTTTTCAATAAAACTCCTAAATGTGCAGTTTGAGCTGTTTGGCTTCTATTTGCTATTTTGGTTGTACATAGAAGTTGAATTTCTTTTAGCCAGCTCATTAAATTTTAGGTTTTGTTTATTTTTATTCTAGTTTTCCTTTAATCAAATAGAAATTGAAGAAAGTTCATGTTAAAGAGAAAGGCCTGGTTTAGATATATGTGTCTTTGGAAGAGGGCATTAGTTTGGATGTGAGTTTAGAGGTCTTTTTAACATCTCAGAAAAATATACCGGACTCTGAATGAAATGGGGAGATATTTACATTCCACATTTTGTAAACTTGAGCGATTGGATTAACTGATCTATACTGATACCTCAAATCACTCTGATTTTGTAAGCTGTCCTCTCTGTGAACTCGTTTGTGTGTGTAGGGCATTTTCTGATTGCACTTAAGTTATGAATGTACTGGAGAGGGACTCATTCACAATGCTGTGCTTCCCTTTGTTAATGCTTAATCACTTAACGTAAACACAATTGAGGCCTCTCTGAAGTTCAGCCCCACCGTGTTTACTGAAATGTGTGAAACTGAAAGTGGGCCCAGTTCTACAAAGGCTGTGGAACTCTTCTAGGAGTTCTTGCTGAATAGGACATTTAAGGGTTTATCTTAAGAAGACGAGGAATAAAGACTGCCTTGGCAATGGCGAGTGCCACCTTCCAGCGAGTTTTCAGCCCTAAGCCTGGCACTCACACAGCCTTCAGTAAGTGGGTGAGTGGATGACTGAGTGAATGAGTGGCTCAGCTGCAGAATGTGACTTTGGTCAAATCATTTGACCAAATGACTCAGTTTTCTTATTTGTAAAACGTGAGTGCTGAACTAGATCTTGAAGCTCCCTTCAAGCTCTGAAATGTTGTAAGTGTACGTTACACCTTTCTCAGATTCAGTCACTGTGCGATCTTTACAACACTTTTTCTCTCTCCACCTTTAACATAGGTCGTGTTGTTGAGCAGCGTTCAGTCCAGTTCTGAAGCTGGAAAAGGGAAATGGTTTTAAAAATTAAGTGAGCTGAGCTCAACTGACATGGTTTATTTTGGATTGAGTGGAAAATCCTTGTGGTCAGTGTTGTATTCATTTCATTTTGACAATTGTTGAACCAATTTTTGTTTCTATCTTTAATGTTTCAAACTCTAAAAGTAATCTTTTGGGCTAAGAATATAACTATTTCCCAAACTAAATTATTTGAGAGGTAAACAGACTTTAAAAAAAGTATTTTTATTCATTTTATTCTAATGTAAGATCCAGAAATCACAGGCTGACTTTAGAATTAAATCTCATTTAGTCCACTTTGGTCTAGATTTATGAAAAATGCATGCTCCATAAAGAATTAGTCCACAGTACTCATAAGTGAAGTTCTTTTCAGTGTCTACTTGGTGACTTGGAGAGTAGCACCTTTGCAAAATCTGAATTTAAGAAATTTTTTTAGGGTAACCGTTTCAAAAAGTAAAATTGCTGTGTATCTTGAATGCTTTGTTTCTCTTTTGCTTCTTAAAATGAAAATGTGTTGTTGACTTTC